ACTAATAAGATTCCTAATATTTATTTATATAAATGAACGTAAAAATAAACTTCAGCTGACATATTACAACAAAAAGGTAGTCAGCACGAAAAATATCGTCAAAAGGTCACTATGAAATCTACTTAAATTCAGCCAAATTATCCCTAGAATTATTATGGGTATCACAAGGAATAATAATTATAAACATGTAACCAAGTTCCCCTTTGAAACATTCTAATTATTTGTGTTTGTCTAATAGACACCGGGTTTGCTTCACGGAACGTACACAAAGATCAGTGCTACGATAGTGTAATAACCGCGGCACGACCGCGGTCTGCCTCTTCTTTTTTCGCTCCATCAAAATTACAAATAAATCGATTACGAACGTATTACCCGTTTTATTCTGCTCCTTCAAGAAATTATCCATCATTCATTCAATAAAATTCATTCAGGAAATAGAGTAAATAGGGCCCTACACTATATTGTGAAGAGTCAAAATGTGTCGAAAAAGGCACGTATGGCAATTCACAATGCTGTGTTGGTCCCTACTTTAACGTATGGTAGTGAAAGTTGGGTGTGGCAGAAGAAGCACGAGAGTAGAATGAACGCAGTAGAAATGCGGTCGTTAAGGAGTATGTTAGGGGCTGAATCTGAATGACAGGGTAGGAAATTGTGTGATAAGAGAAGAGTGTGGTTTGCAAGATGATGTTGTGACCAGGATTAAGAAAGGAATGCTTCGGTGGTTTGGTCATGTGGAAAGAATGAATGAGGAAAGAGTGACAAAGAAAATTTATGTTGCAGAAGTGAATGGCAGAGTCGGAAAGAAACGTCCTAGGCGAAAATTTATCGACCAAATTGACGATTTATTGAAAACGGGCCAAATTAGGAGTACCCTTAACCGACGAGCATGTATGCGTAGGTATATGGTATATATGGATGTGAAGGAGGCTAGAGTATACCCTCTGGTGACAGGCGTAAGTGTATGTTATGTATGTTCATTCAATGATTTCTAAATTTACGCGAACAGAATAATACATTAGATTCTATCGCGGTTAATATATATCCTCGGTCACGGACGATCGGGGATTTTTTAATTTTTTTAAAATTTTTACGATTTAAATCGGACCAAAAATTAATATTCAAAAACTGAAGGTAGCCGCACTAACTATGACATTGGGACGTCAAACATCATAGTCCCCCCCCCGTGACCATGGGTGCTGTAAAGCATCCGAAACGTCAGGATAATAAAAATTAAAGTAGTAATTAAACGCGATAAAATCTGTAAATAATAGTTTTATTCATCACCCATTCATTAAGCCTTTTAAAAGTTCACTGTTGAACATAGCCCTTTTCCATAGAATTCCTTACAGAGGGAATATTTGCCACAGTTCCCTCTCTTAGCAAGTGGGTTTGCAACCGTAATTTTTTATTATTTTAGGTTGTTATCAGGATCGGAAAGACATTGCTGCCTATCTCCTGTTTCATTTTTCTCTTTCGACTTTTATGATACTTACCGGATGATATGATATCTTAAAGCTTCTAAAGAATAATATGTAACTTTTATTAGGAGGTAGTAGATTCTCTTACGCCGCGACTTTGTCAAGATCCTGCCTTCATTTCATGAATTAGTAATACTTTCATCCAAACAGATATAGTTTTGTTGGTATAGTCAGTGGCTTTATTTCCATTGAGCAAGAGGTAAATCAGCGTATAGAATTGGGATTAAAATGGGATTCGACTCATTACCGTGTGACTGTCAAGACACCATTCTAACAGATTTTAAAGTTACCGATACGAATATTTGCAATGTAATATATTTATCATCTCTTGATTTTGAAAACAATTCACTCGATCGCTAAATAGTAAGTCTACACCTATTTCTCTTTATATTTTGATACATGTAATAAAATATTGTCGATTGTTGTTAACATCGCGAACGGAATCACTGTAGCTTAAAGAAGTCATGTTTTGTGAAATAATGTCACACAATAAATACTACTACAATGGGGATGTAATTTTTCTAGTATATTAGAAAATGCGAGTGTACTTACTCTCATATTTGGCATAGTATAAAGAGACTAAAGTCGACAACTTGCCATTAAAGCTGTACGCATAAACGCAACATATTTTAATAAGTTTCTCTTTTTGCCTTATGTGAAAATTAAATTAGAAAAAGTGAGACAAGTATATTGACTCAATTTAGGTATGTAGAATTGCAGATTCCCTTTATGTATACTGTACACATATTATATATGTAGTTACTCGAAGATATCGTGGAAATATTTCTATTTGTCAGACCTGCAGTTTTCTTCGCGCAATTTTTCTTCATCGCCGAGGAAGTGGTAAATTAATACTTACAATTGCATTAAACAATTTCATTGTGATTTTATAGCTTGTGCTTACCCCTGAGCTTCCATTGGTCGTAGAAAAAATTATAATATTATTACCGCAATGACCAATTCTCGCAGATTAAGTGTGATCTAACTATAAATTTTTCGTTTGATGAATAAATGTAAGATCAGTTTTTTTTTCGAACTATCGATTCAGTTTTTAAGGATAACAAAAGGAAACATAGACCGCGTGATAATAAGTGGTTGCTGTGGCCCATAGATGTCATCATGAACATCTATTATCGATTAGTATTAAAATGAGATTAATCGAAATTTTAAATACGGAGGTGTTCTAATTTTTGAGCCTGAGACTAAAATAATATCTTAAGTAAAATTCAATTATAACTTGCGGAGAGTGTAAAATATAGTTCTTCGCTCAAATTATAAATTTTCAATTACAATTAGCTTTTTATCAAGCTTGAAATATCATGCGAAAATGTTTCATTATCCGGTAGGTGTTAAATGATAATGATTTGTAGTGCCCAGTGCGAAATATCCGTTTATTATTACATTACACATTTAATGTCAGTTTTTGTGGCATGAAAACAGTTCAATCGTCGCCCGGATACAGCCCAGTGGGAAACATCGAAATTTGATTACACTACAACCAATAGCCCGGCCTACGCCAGATCCTGCAACGCATCCGCATCGTTTCGCCGACCTCGACTTTTCATGACTGCCTTTATGATTGCAAATTCTTGTAAAATCAATTAGATTAATGAGTACAATTTCTTGACACGCGTTAAGATCGGAGTTCCGTAGGTTTTGCAATTTTATTTGTTTTAGATAATGAGTATGTTTTCTTACGTAAAGGGAAACGAGCGCAGACCATCTGGTAGCAAAATATGCTATGGTACCTGCATCTATTCAATTAAAAATCAAAATTTAGATTTGTTTTCCTAAGGTCTAAGAGAAAAGCCTCATAAGCAGTAAAAAGGGTATCATGTTCTCAAAACTCACCGCACGAAACAACAGAATTAAGCTGTTATTTTACGCTGGTATTCTGTAAGAGTGTGGCCTTTCCCGGTCAAGCTAACCAACCCACTCGTGTTGCAACCATAATATAGCTACAGCTTGGCTCTACCACGTTAAAACGTGGTTCCTAATATAACATTTTTATTAATTTTTCATTAGTTTTAATTTTAATTTGCGACAAGTTGACGGTGACAAAATAAAGTTTAGAACAAATATCCTTTTTGTCTTTGTTGAGCGAAGCTTTTAGTTGCGACAACTACACAATGCACCACCTATAAGTATGTATACTTACACGGGTATCCCGTCCGTCAAAATAATTGTTTCGGGTCTAGATGTTTGTTCATGTTTAATTTGTAATTTTGAGTGATTTACGCAAAAACCAAGGCGGCTTATAATTTAAAATTACAATTTCTTTAACTCAGACGGTTGGGCTATTGTCGTTTTATGAATAGTTATAAACTAAAATTTCAAAATAAGAACAATTTTAATATAATGATTTCTTATATTTACGCGAACATTGCACATGATTAAAACTACTTTTACGGATTTTATCGCGTTTATTTTTACTTTTTATTTTTAATTCCCGACGTTTCGGGCGCTTTCCAGCATCCATGGTCACGGGAGACTGAGATGACTGACGTCCCGATGTCATTGTTAAACCCGGAGTACCTTCAGCTTTTTTTAATTATTGTTTATGGTCCGATCTATGCAAAATGAACTGACTATGTCCTGAGGTCTTGCAGTGGTATGCTTGGGTTTAGTTTTAATTTTATTGATTATAGGATCCCAAGCAGGTGGTAGTACCCAGCCTCCTTCTCTATTGAAATTAGGATGTTTATTAATTTCAATAGCCTCACGTATCATCCTTGGTAGGAATCGGTGTTCTTTCGCGAGGATTTGTGGTCTATAAAATCTAATGTAATGGTTGGGGCCGTCTAGGATATGATCACAAACTGCAGACTTCAAAAAATAAACGCGATAAAATCCGTAAAAGTAGTTTTAATCATGAACAATTTTAATAATAATATATAGCATGACTCTATCATGTTTTATAAAATATGATAAAGTCATGCTTCAGCTATATTATGGTTGTAACACGAATGGGCCTGCTTGACCGGGGAAGGACCGCGCTCTTATGGAATGCCAGCTTGAAATTGCAACTTAATGTGCTGTATTTCGTGTAGAGAACCGGAGATTCTTTTTATTGGTATCGAGGCATTCCATCTTGACCTCAGGGCTAACAACGCATCTGCATTTTGATCCTTAATCGAGAATAGATGTAGATGTCTTTTCCCACATGACATCCACTTAATCAGGTGGTCTGTGTGCTAGCTGGTTACCTTATTTTATTTCAAAAAAAAAAATATCTTCACTAGTATTCATTCAATATTAGACTTACTGCATTTTATTCAAAAATAATATTCATTAAAGTGTATTTACATATACATTATAATTTCCTGATAGTCATTTATATAGGTATAATACCATATTTATGTATTCTGGTATAGAAAATAAATATAAAGTAACTCATTATGTTTACGTATGCTAACTATATTTAATACTTTATTATCCATCCTTTCACATCTCGCTACAAAATTATTGACCGCGGGAATATCATGGTCGGTTATCGAGCGAGTTGTATAACAGTTCCTTACTTCAACTGCCGCTGCTCCTATCCCCGTTAATTAACGCAGAGACGCACCGGTGAAAGGGATCATGCCCGCTATCGCAGGGCTCGCCGCATGCAAACTCTAGTCTTGGGTATTTTGGAAAACATCTGTCTAAATTTTCCATTTCATCAATACTCTTAACACATATAATAATAAAAGCTGTTAATTCAGAATGAAAGAAAGCATTTAATAAAACTTTACCAATTAAGAAATCAAATTGTTACAATTGTCCCTTAAACAGGTAATAAGTCCGTGTTGATTATGAATTGAAGTAACGTTATTTAAAAAGTTTATATAGTTCGGCCCATAGACATCTACATCTATCCTCGATTACAAATCAAAATGCAGATGCGTTGTCACCCGTGAGGACTAAATTGGAATGCCTCGTTTCCAGTAAAAAGGGTCTCCGGTTCTCTACACTCACCATACGAAACACAGCAGCATTAAGCTATTGTTTTACGCTGGTATTCTACGAGAGTGTGGTCCTTCCCTGGTCGAGCCGACTCATTCGTGCTACAACTATATTACTAATGTAACTGCAGCATGGTTCTACCACGTATGAAACACATATTTATTTTATTGAAATAAATTATTGTTATTTAATTATAAATACTGACTAGACATGGTTGGCAATCGCAGTTTTTTAATTGTTAGCCGTAATCAGGAAGACGTCGCTGCCCATCTATACGCTAAAGAAGCAGAAATAGGTCGCCACAGTTACGGCAAGATGCAACGTGCGTAAATGAAATTGACAATCATAGAAAAATTTGACATTGTGACAATCTGGAAATTTGAAAGCTTGACGTGAACTTTTAGCTTAAAAACTTTCGTGCAAAAATCAAATACTAACTTATTCTCTCTTAAATTTTATGCAATACTTTGCTAGTGAGGATTATGTAAAAAAAATACATGTGGATTCTTTTTAATTTGCTTTGCCCACAAAGTAAGTAAACATTATCTAGGAAATGATTTATTATTCGTTAAACTCACTGTAACATCGTTCAAGTGGGACACCTAATACATTTACGTCTTTTCAGCACACAGTTAATGTCGGCTTTCCTTTATTCACAACTGAATGAGGTAATGAAACCATAAATTCGTTAGTAATAAAATTTACGGTTCGGACTTTTCATAAATTTCCTTATTGCGACAATGTTCGTCGACGCGGTGTATAGTGCGGGTTCCTTGTTAAGCCCCCGATACACGCGACAACATGTACATGCTAGATTTAGTGTTGCGCTCGCCTTTCGGATTACAACCAACAAGTCGTATATACGTAAGCCGCTCTGATTTTGCTTTAACGATTAATACAACTTTATTTTATGTTCAATCGAGAGCTAAGATAAGAGTACTAGCAAAATTTACATTAATTATGTCCTGGTGACATTGTTTACTGTGAATGATTTGTATAAAATATTCAATGCTCTAAAAAGATTTCTCCCGGTTTAGTATAATTGCAGATCTCAAGTAATCGTATTGTAACAAATAGTGAAATTAAATACTTAATTTATTTATACTTTCATGCGCAAAGTAATACATATGGCGGACTTAATGCCACAGGGTATTCTCTTCTCTCCCAGTCATTTGATAGACATTTTGGAGGCGGTGCAGCAATAATCAAACAGAAAGGATAAAAAATATAATATACAACATATATATATATATATATATATATATATATATATATATATATATATATATATAATACAATATACAATAGGTACGTATAAATATTATCTGTGTTAGTTCAAACTTGCAACGATTTAATCACATACTTACGGACTTGATTTATAAAAACGAATTTGTTGGGAGCTTTTTTAATGTCAAGAGGGATGTCGATTCAAAGTCTGATGGCCGTGAGAGTGAAATACATTGTAATCGTTTAAGAGATAAAACGTTTTAGGGAGCGGTAGGACGTATGTCAGATCTACATACATCCCACTACACTAATTTGCTTTGCTTTTTCAAAAAGCAAAAGTAAATTGAAAAGTTATAGCCAATATACGTCTAACTTCCGGATATTTCTCATTTCTAAGAGAGTAATATATAGTGATTAGTCCGCGGCGCTGCTCCAGGGCGTGTTGGCGGAACATTTTATTCTTCAGACATGTAGATTCCTCATGAAACTCATGATGTTTTCCATCCTAACCTAGTACGTTCATTATCAATCCGTCCATTGCAGCCTATAAAAACCCAGCGCTGAACACAGTCCTCCCCCGTAGATTGCCTTGCGCCATTGCGATTGGCAGACGGGTTGGCAACCGCATTTTTTATTGTTTTAGTTGTTATTAGAAAGCTACTGCTGCTCATCTCCTTTCTCAGTTTCCTCTTGTTGCCTCTTACGACTCCCACGGGACGATATGGGTTAGTGGATATTCGTACACCGTCACTACATAGTTAATTTACTGCGCCGAAAAAAACCTTTTAGCGTTCCTTTAATTTTAATTTACGACGTTGGTCGGGTTAGTGAGTGCAGAATGGATAATCTTGTACTGTTAATACAAATTACCATTCTCACTCACTTTTACTTCTTTAGTAGCGGGAATTAAAGCAATCGTTAAATTCGTAATGGTTATACCGGTATATATCGGATGCCAGAAGATATTTTTTGCTTTTCTCTGATACGAAAGAAACGAAAGAGTTGTATAGGATTGTGCCAAAGGAAAGTCCTTGGTAGCTACCTATTCCTCTGGGTGACAGGCGTGAGTGATACGTTAATATCCTAATAACATATCATGGGAATGTATTCTTAGTAATGCAAATATTTATATACATATCATGTTAACGATTGTGTTATTTTCATATTGCGTGATTGAAGTTTTCGTTATACGAGTATATTTGTAACTAGTGTTGCAATAAGGATTTATTTAAAAAAAAATACAGTTTATACACGTTCACATCATTAGCAAGTGTGCAACGGACTTTATGTTGTGTTTGTTACGTTCTCTCGTCTCGGTTATCGCAAATAGTGGGTCGATGTTACAGGTACTCACGTTAATTGGTATTTAATGCTCACATCGGCACGTAATTTAGACTAGCCTTTTTGCAACTAAAGCTCTTGATAATACTATACGTTTTAGTGTTTAATAGAATTTGAATTTGAACAAATTTGACATTGTTTCCATGCAAAGTAGTAGGTGCATATCCTGCGGAATCAAATAATAATTATGATTTTTAAAATTTGCCAGATCGCTATCTATCTAGGACCGCTAGGATCTCGCTGGACCTACCCATGTCGAGCCGACCCGTTCGTGCTATACTTTCCTCCAACTATAATACAGTTGCAGCCTGACTTTACCACGTAAATAACACCGCATTAATAGATCCTATCCAGGCGAAGCAATGGAGTTTTAAATATCACAAAAATACGGTTTCAATAAATGTAATTAGAGGATTGCGGTATGGTTACCCCAATTCCGTGGTCAGAACGTGGGTCTTTTAAGGGATATGCCAGAAATACCTTAGCTTCCATAATGATTTCTTATATTTACGCGAACACTACACATTGAAATAATACTAGTTTTGTGATAATATAATATATAGAATAATACTAGTTTGTGAGTCCTGCCCGTGACCATGAGTGCTGTAAAGCGTTCGAAACGTCGGGTAATTAAAAAGTTATTTTAATCCCACATATACGCGATAAATTCCGTAAAAACTAGTATTATTTCAATACCTTAGCTTCCGATAGATGGTAGTATAAAAATCAAATACCAAATTCTCAAACCAGCGACGGGGAGTAGCGTCAGTGGTGCTCGGGTCTTTTACTGCGATCGTCAATCCGCCTGCAAAGCGTGAGATTAAGGCCTACGTCACACTGAACGGAAATTTCGTTCGTTCCGCTCAGTGAAGACGTACGGCCTAAGACAATATAGCCGAGTACCGAGCAGTACCGAGAAAATGACACCACGTAATAAATGTTGAAAAGTAGAATATGAATATTACGTCGCCACCATACGAAAATCATTTAAATTAATTCATATCAAAGTAAAGTAAACTTTCAGCCTATATACGTCTTGCTGCTGGGCACAGGCCTTCTCTCGCTTCTGAGAGGGTTTTTAGGGAAAGGAAGTGTCCGCCGCGCTGCCACAATGCGTTTTGGGGGCTTCATATGTTTTCGAATAATTATGTTTTCTTATTTCTAAGACACGTAGATTTCCTCACGATGTTTTCCATCAAACAGCATTTCGAAATTAGCACAGACACTGGTGATTCCCTCTGTCACCTCTTACAATACGACTTATATAGGGTAGTAGATATTCTCAAACTGCCACCACACGGTCAATAATTTTAATTAATTCATTAAAAACTATACGCTTTGTTATAAATCAATTGCACATCGTTTTGAAAGGAAGCTTCTATATTTATTGCTATTGCGTGTGTATATCTTTTTGCGTTATGTAAACAGTGTGCGCGTTCGCTTCGTTTTCTATGCCAATATTCCTTACTTCGACCGAGGATAGACACGCTCGTATAATACCAGCTTGAAATAACAGCAGTGTCTTTGGTAACGACACATTCCATCTTAATGCTCAGGGGTGACAACGTATCTGCATATTGATTCTTGATTGAGGATAGATGTGATGAGTGTAGAGACCCAGAGATCCTTTTTACTGGTAATTCTATCTTAATCTTCAAGGGTGAGAGCCGTGGTAGCTCAGATGGTTAACGCTCGCTGTAAATATAACAGAACGCGAGTAACCCGGGTTCGAGCCCCGCCGGCACCAATGAAATTGTTAATTGCAATTTTAAGTGCTGATTTACCACGTGCTCGGCGGTGAAGGAAAACATCGTGAGGAAACCTGCATGTCTGAGGAATAAGAAAAAAAATATTTCGAAGACATGTAAAGTTCGCCAACACGCATTGGGGCAGCGCGGCGGACACTTCCTTGCCCTAAAACCCCCTCAGAAATGAGGGGAGGCCTGTGCCCAGCAGTGGGACATATATAGGCTGTAACTTTACTTTACTTTACTTCAGGGGTGACAACGCATTTACATTTTGATTCTTAATCGAGGATCGATGTAAATGTCTGTAATATCTATGGGCAACAGCACGCATGCACACACATGCGTGTACACACACACACACACTGCCAAGAGGAATCTAGACCACATTTTATTCGAAATACTTGAAAA